CAAGGGGTCTCGGGGAGGGGGGATCCCTTACCTGGGCCCCGCCACCGCCGCCGCTGCCGCGCCCGGGCCCGGGCGGGTCTGGGCTTGACCCGGGGGAGGAGCGGGGAGAGAAAAACCGGCCCCAGAATGGGATGGGATAAATGGGATGGGATGGGGTGGGATAAATGGGATAAATGGAATGGGATGGCATGGCATGGGATAAATGGGATAAATGGAATGGGATGGCATGGCATGGGATAAATGGGATAAATGGGATGGGATGGGGTGGGATAAATGGGATAAATGGAATGGGATGGCACGGCATGGGATAAATGGGATAAATCTGATAAGTAGGATAAACGAGATGAGATGGGGTAAATCTGATAAATGGAATGGGATGGGATGGGATGGGATGGGATAAATGGGACAAATGGAATGGGATAAATGGGATGGATGGGATGGGATGGGATGGGGTGGGATAAATGGGATGGGATGGCATGGCATGGGATAAATGGGATAAATCTGATGAGTAGGATAAATGGGATGAGATGGGATAAATCTGATAATGGGATGGCATGGCATGGGATGGCATGGGATAAATAGGACAAATGGAATTGGATAAATAGGATAAATGGGATGGGATGGGATGGGATGGGATGGGATGGGATGGGATGGGATGGGGGATGGGCAGATACATGGGTGGATGGATGGATGGATGGATGGATGGAAGGATGGACAGGCACGTGGAAGGATGGATGGAGGATTCATGAACACACGGACAGATGGATGGAGGGATGGATGGATGGAGGGACGGATGGAAGGATGGATAGAGGGATGGATGGAGGAATGGATGAATGGATGGATGGATAGATACATGGATGGATGAATGGAGAATTCATGGATACATGGATGGATGGATGGATGCATGGACGACTCATGGATACACAGATGGATGGATGAGTGGGTGGGTGGATGCATGGATAGGTGGAGGACTTATGGATACACAGATGGATGGATGGATGGATGGATGGGTGGGTGAGTGGGTGGATGCATGGATAGATGGAGGACTCATGGATACATGGATGGCTGGTGAGGTGAAGGCGGGAGGTCTGAGCTGGCTGCAGAGATGGAGCCTGGCACAGACACACAGGGACAGACAGACAGGGACAGAGGGACATCACAGACCTCCTCCAGCCTCCGGTGGTGCTTCCTCAGCTGTCACTGGGGGCACTGGGGACACTGGGGCCTGCTGGGGACACTGGGGGCACTGGAACCACTGGGGACACACTGGAGTCTGCTGGGAACACTGGGCACTGGAACACTGGGAACATTAGGGACTGCTGGGGGAACTGGGATTACAGGGGGCACTGACCCACTGGGGCCACTGGGAACACTGGGAACACTGGTGCTGGATGCACTGGGAACACTGGGAACACTGGGATCTGCTGGGTACACTGGTCCCACTGGGTTAGGGAGGTTATTGAGGGAGCTGGGGGTTACTGGGGCAACTGAGTTGGGGACTAGGTGCACTGGAGGTCATTGGGGAGACCTATGGGGGATGCTAGGATGGGACTGGGAGGCACATGGAGGTACTGGGAGACTGGGGATTACTGGAGGGGCTGGGATACTGGGGGGACTGAGAGTTGTTGGGGGACCCAAGGTTACAGGGGGGACTGGTGGTTACTTACTGGGAGAGCTGTGATGGGAACTGGGAGCTTGTGGGGGGAGCTTATGGTTAGACTGGGAGTTACTGGGAACCTGGAGGTCACTGGGGACTGGTTGCACTGGGGCCTTGCTGGGAATACTGAGGGGTAACTGGGGGCTGGGATGGGGACTGGGTGCACTGGGAGTTACTGGGAGGGCTAGAGGTTACTGGGTGCACTGGG